ATAACATACTTTGGCGGGAGTAAATGACGATTGCTATATTCATTATTACATCCAACAATAAAGCACCTCAATCGCTTAATCGGAGACATCTTGTCTTCCCCTGCACCAGAGTCAACACAATGGCGGACTGATGACAGCTCACTCAGGGTGGGTCTAAGGTAAGACACCAGTCCAGTCTGTGCTGAAACACTACTGTCAATCAACTATCGTGGGAGGGGCCTGTACAGAACTACGTCATTCTGACAGGAATTTCAGAAAAGCCTGGTTTGAGAAAGGGGATTTTAAAATAGGGATTTAAAAAAAAAACACTGGATGGATTTTTATAATTATAGGATGGATGTGTACACACACTTCCAACATACATTTATGTTCAAACAACTTGAAAAGTTAATTTTGCATCCGATGACCCCTTTAAATCAGCAGTAAAACATTTTGGGAACACTTTATTTTTAAGGACCAATTCTCTCTATTAATTAGTTGCTTATTAGCATGAACATTAGCATATTGGCTGTTTATTAGTACTTATAAAGCACATATTAATGCCTTATTCTGCACGACCGTATTTTAGATCCCTTAATCCTTCCCCTTACCTAAACTATTAATAAGCAGCAAATTAGGAGTTTGTTCAGGGAAAACTCTTAGTTAATAGTGAATATTTGTTCCTTATTCTTACCATTTTGTTTTCCAGACTGGTCCACTTACTGTGTTTCCTCTAAGGTAATGTTAGAAAACACTCTCTGTCTTGAGAATGTTCCAAATATGCCTCACCCCTCCTTTCTTTCCCTCTCCCTCTCACTCTCCCTCCTCTATCTGTTCTCTCTCTCTTGTATGGTGTTTTAATGTCTCTTACTTTGAAACATTACTGTCAATCAACTATCGTGGGAGGGGCCTGTACAGAACTACGTCATTCTGACAGGAATTTCAGAAAAGCCTGGTTTGAGAAAGGGGATTTTAAAATAGGGATTTAAAAAAAAAACACTGGATGGATTTTTATAATTATAGGATGGATGTGTACACACACTTCCAACATACATTTATGTTCAAACAACTTGAAAAGTTAATTTTGCATCCGATGACCCCTTTAAATCAGCAGTAAAACATTTTGGGAACACTTTATTTTTAAGGACCAATTCTCTCTATTAATTAGTTGCTTATTAGCATGAACATTAGCATATTGGCTGTTTATTAGTACTTATAAAGCACATATTAATGCCTTATTCTGCACGACCGTATTTTAGATCCCTTAATCCTTCCCCTTACCTAAACTATTAATAAGCAGCAAATTAGGAGTTTGTTCAGGGAAAACTCTTAGTTAATAGTGAATATTTGTTCCTTATTCTTACCATTTTGTTTTCCAGACTGGTCCACTTACTGTGTTTCCTCTAAGGTAATGTTAGAAAACACTCTCTGTCTTGAGAATGTTCCAAATATGCCTCACCCCTCCTTTCTTTCCCTCTCCCTCTCACTCTCCCTCCTCTATCTGTTCTCTCTCTCTTGTATGGTGTTTTAATGTCTCTTACTCATATTCGAGGTAGGCATGCACACATGTATACATTAGTTGCTTGGGTCAAATGCCCAAATAAGGAGATGAATGCTAGGATTACGAGGTAAAGGAGTTTGTGCTGAACTGTGAGGAGGGTTCAGCATCCTTCGCCAGGAAGTCTATTCCTAATATGTACATGTTTTTCTGTACATGTGGCCATTTTATACAAAACACATGTTCTTGGCCAAAACATCCTGTATGGGTATGTCACCCTATCCTCATTGGTTAAGAGGGTGAAACTCCCCTCGACATATGCCTATATAAGATCTGTATTTCTATGAATAAATTGAAGTATTGAGAATACCATTTGAATGTGTGTTTTCTTGCTTCCCGGCCGTATATCTACACTTTAAGGGACTGAGAAGTTTTCAAGGTGGCAAAGAGAATCTATAGGGACCGATTGTTAATTTCTAACAGGTAAATAAGCTAAATTGGTTCTTTTAACTGAAAGGTGAGACTTCCATTATTGCTGTTGCCATATTTCTCTCGTCTCTGATCTGGTACCTTGTTGAACACACACCATGCTGGTTTAAAAGAGACTTTGCAGCATGTCAGCTATAACCAAAGGTGCCCACAAATGGTTTCAGTAATTCCTCCATGTACCTGCAGCACCGCAGTGCTTCATTACTCCCCAGAGCATGGCCAGAGCAGAGGCTGAAGAGCTCTCTGTGAGTCATTTACTGATTACTGGGTTTCTGATGGATGTAGTGCGTTTTTGACAGGCCTTTTTCACACTGTGATAATGGCGTAATGAAACACCAGTGTACAGATGGGAGGATGGTGTGGTGTTGGCGTGTTGGATGCATGAATGATGCATGAAGTGAAGGAAAGCAGTGGGGGAAATGAAGTGGCTTCTTTAAATTAGGTTGGAGTGTGTTGAAGTGTGTCGGTTTGTTCCATGCTGAGTGGCTGCTCTTAAAGCTCTCTGAACTTAAAGCCGCATCGGAAGAAAAAGTTTTGAAAGATCCATCCTGGTTTGATATTTCTTGCACACATCAGCGTGGAAAAGAAAGACTGAAAAGGAAACATCAAAGATACTGTTTATAGGATCCTTGAATCATCAGTGCAAGTGCCGCAGCACTTTACGCTCGATTTCAGTGTTCTTTAACATGGAGGCCTAATCATTAGTCATTTCCTCTCAGAATTAAAACATTCTGGATTTCCACTAATTATTGTTTATGTAAATGTATGCAATAAAAAGCAAATAAACAACATCAAAGAGAAATTTAAGAAGAAAATCTTCCCTCCCATATAAAATGAAACATAAAAATAGTATTAATAAATATAGTAATATAGTATTATAAATTTACTAAATTCACTTATTAATAGAAATTAAATGTTTATGACCCTGGATATTATTAATTTATTTATATTAGTATTATTATATATAATATATATTACTATTATTATACATTTATATATAGGTTTTTTTTAAAGAAAGGAATATTAAGGTTATGAATATTAATATTAATGCATTTTGTCCATAGAAATAAGTAATTCAGTGCTTTAATTTGACGCGACCGGCTGAAGTTGGACAAGTATGTAAACTCCGTTGGACGTGCACTGTGGGCAGACCCGATTAATCAATAATGAGAATCGTTGTCGATGATTTTCATAATCGATAATAATCGATTTTATTGATTAGTTGTTGCAGCCCTATTAAGAAGCATTCAACTGATTAAAAGTGACAGTAAAGACATTTACAATGTTACAAAACATTTCTATTTTAAATAAATGCTATTCGTTTGAACTTTCTTTTGATCAATGAATCCTAAAAAGTTTCATGGTTTCCACAAAAATATTAAGCAGCACAACTGTTTTCAACACTGATAATAATAAGAGATGTTTCTTGAACAACAAATCAGCATATTACAATGATTTCTGAAGGATCATGTGACACTGAAGACTGGAGTAATGGCTGCTGAAAATTCAGCTTTTTTGGCAGAAGGAGGAGTAAGCATGGCAGGGAGGATCAGATTTACCGCAACAATGAGTAATTAAAGACATTTTAAGATGACTTTTGTCAAAATTGCTAAAAAATCATAAAAACAATCAATTGTAATATGATTTATCACGGTTTATCACTTTGTGATAAACCAATGAAAATTATTGCACCTATCGACACAAAATCCATATTTTTTTTGCTGGCATGGTCTAAAGATGATATGAATCAAATTTGGTGAAAATTGGACCAACGGCTTAGGAGGAGTTGGAAAAACTAGGTTTGCAACGTAAACAAATAATGGTGGATTTTAATTTTCATTATGAATGGTTAATGGCTTCATAGTAATGGTTTACCACTTTTGACCAATAGGCGGCGCTGTTACCAAATTGACGTGGTGTGGTCAGAGTGAAGTGACAATGGCACACAGAAAGTTTGGTGTCAATATCTCAAAGCTTTGCAGAGATACACCTTCAGATGCAGTTTGGCATCATTCCAGCAAATTCGTTGATGTGGTAAAACAAAAACCTGTTTCGTATATTGACATATAATCCATAACTTTTTGCCAGCATGGTCTGAAGATGATCTGAGTCAAATTAGGAGTTTGAAAGAGTATGTTTTCAAAGAAAATCTAAATGGTGGACAGAAAGTTGTTAGATTATAGCATCATTGGTATTGATGTTCTCAGCATGATCCAAGGAATCTATGAAGACCAGTCGGATAATAATAGGCAAAACTAATCAACAGCTATTAGTATTTTGTGAAATTTCATTATCATTTTTGACGATAAGGTGGCGCTGACACAAAACTTTTTGAGTATCTTCAAGGAATGGTGCTGAAGACACATACAGAGTTTTGTTACGATACGCCAATGCGTTCATAAAATACAGCATTTTACAACAAAATTCAAAATATCCGATGCCTAAATTGCCCAACATGGGACAATTGGGTATTGTTCGACTCAGTATGTTGCTCTGAATCTAAACCAGTCTTGTGATTTTTGGCCTATCCGTTCATAAGTTATAAGTAAAAATAGCCATTTTTCATATCTCCTGACCACAAGGTGGTTATTATAACACACACCAAGTTTGGTTTCAATAAGCTAAAGCATTGTGGAGACAGCCTCACATCCGTTTTGGTGTGCTCTTCGACAAATTCGTTCACTCGTTATTTGAGAACATTTGACTAATCAACTTGAATTCCATAACTCCTCTATCTGTGTGCCAAATTTTATAACTTTGCCACAAGCGGTTCTATGGGCTGCCATAGACACCCAGAGCGGAAAAAGAATAATAATAATAGAAACACCAATGATTACAAGAGGTGCCTACGCACCTTCGATGCTTGGCCCCTAAAAATGATTATACATATATGTATATTTGATGTATAATACTATTATAATTTTACTTTCTAATGTGGGAGGAAAAATGAAACTCGACTTCTTGACTTTATGTTTGACAGGCATGTGCTTGAAAAACTCTTGCATTAGAGAGTATCACACTTAAATTCTCTCACCAAGGAAGTCAGGATGTAGGTGTAGTACACTGACAGCATCCCCAACTCTGAGGCCTGGAAGATAAAAGAGAAGAGAGAGGTACATTAAACACTTTTGACAATGCTAGGCTAATTTAAACAGCTACTAAGACCGAATCTGTGCATGGCATTGCTGCCATTTAGAAGCAAAAGACAAGGTTCACTGCTTTGCAAAACCAGTTGGATGAAAGCTAACAAAAGACAGACAATATTCCCGTTCTGTCATTGCCATTCTATTTATCAATTCTTCACGGTCTCCAAGGAAACTAAGCAGCAAATATAATATGTCAATCAAATGTCAGGGGTGAAAACACGTTCAATAATTATTTCTATGGAAATGGAGAGAAAACGGAGTAAAAGGGACAGTTTAGAGTACAATAAAAGCACGAGAGGGAAACAGATTGAGTGGCTGGGGGTGTTTATCTTCTTTCTAGCAGAGAAAAATGTTAAATAATTAAGTAAAAACATATTGATCAGGAAAAACCTGCAGTGAAATATAATCACATTTCCTAGAACAAAAAGAACATTGAAATATCTTGGTAATTACTATAGGTTTCTCAGATAATCTCTCCAAAACTGTTCTTGCAGATCTTTTCATTAACCTTGCAGCCATGATCAATAATCTCAACCCATACAGTTCATACAGAGACTTATTTTTAGTTATTGGGTACTTCAGAATAGGATATGAGTCAAAACGGTTGACTAAACCATTTTTGGCTAATTATTTATTATTATTTTCTGGTTACTTTTATAATAATAATAATAATAATAAAATTTTAACTTCTTCATCATCATTATTACTACTACTACACATCATGGACGTCTTTGACAGTTGAGATGACACCATTTTGGGACAGTTAAAAGTAGTTAAAAGTCATTATACATTACCATTCACAATTTGGGGTTCATAAGATTTATTTTTTGTAAGAATTAAATAAATACTTTTATTCAACAAGGAAGCATTAAATTGATCAAACGTGACAGTAAATACATTTATAATGTTATAAAAGATTTCTGTTTAAAAAAAGTTATTCTTTTGAACTTTATATTCATTAAAGAATGTATCACTGTTTTCACACAAAAAAAAAATAATTAATAAGCACAACTGTTTTCAACATTGATGATAAGAAATGTTTCTTGAGCAGCAAATCAGCATATTAGAAGGATCATGTGACACTGAAGACTGGAGTAATGCTGCTGAAAATTCAGCTTTACCATCACAGGAATAAATGACATTTTACAATATATTTGTAAGTTTTTACTGTATTTTTATCAAATAAATGCAACCTAAAAAATCTTACCAACCCCAAACTTTTGAACAGTAGTGTGTATGGTTTCCTTAAGGATGATTAATTGACTAGTCATTCAGGCAACCCACTGAGCAGTTTTTCTAGACTTTGAAATTAAGCATTTTGCTCATCCCTTCTTCAATATGTGCCCTTTTTGTTTGAACATTATTAATGTAAATTGTTGATTTGATAGCATGCCTAAAAAATAATGACTTGAAGTAACATTGTTTTAAACAAATAAATGCCCTATTGTTGTGCTAACAATCTGTTTTCTGTCTTTGTATTAACAACTAAGTTTTGAGTACAGCTTACTTGAGAAATTTAAGGCAATCTGTTTCCACACATTTGTCTAGTAATGTGAACAAAGCAGACTTGTTAAGAGAACTGTTTTGTTTGAGTTCTGTGCACTAAGCTTAACTTACATCTCTAAGTTGGCTGAACTTGTCAAATTGAGTTAGCAACACTCAAGTTTTCTGGTAACCTCTACATATACACAAGTTACCTATACAAAGTTACAGTAAGTTTTATTAACTCAAAAATGATAAACTAATTTGCTTGAGAAATTTGAGGCAATCAGTTTCCACAGGTTTTCCAAGTAAGTTCAACTAATGACTTTTTACAGTGTGGTTTCCTTAAGGATGATTAATTGACTAGTCATTCAGGCAACCCACTGAGCAGTTTTTCTAGACTTTGAAATTAAGCATTTTGCTCATCCCTTCTTCAAAATGTGCCCTTTTTGTTTGAACATTATTAATGGTACAGTCCCAAAGTTATGTTCTTTCCGACCTGTGTGACATGTACAACTTATGTGGCAGAGCATAATCTGTAGACGCCTCAGATCTGCTGACGATGGCGGAAGTACCAGGTCTGAACTTCCCAAACTCCCGGCTTTGTTCCTACATTTTAGAGCATAAGTCATGCTAACACAGCACTCCTGGACACCTGTTCTCTTGTGGTTGCATTACGGTTCAAAGCAGCATCTGTATTATGGCACTTATACACACCCAGACTCCCAGCCTATCGTCCCGTAATGCCCATCTGCATTTCATTTGACCAGTGTTGCGTTAAAAGAGAGAGAGAGAGAGGGAGAATATGGACCACAGGAACGGAGAGTTTTTCCAGGTTATGATAATTTTGTCCTTGCGTAAAGTATTTTATAATGAAAGATTTTCCCTGCAATTGCCCATGTAATTGAATCCTGTAACTCAAGCTGGTGTGTGAGCTGTGCTGTGAACATTGGCAAACAGATCTAGCATGCTTGCCCTATACTCGCTCCTCACAACCTGAACAAGTGCCAACTTTCCACAGCTCTGCCACATACTCGCTCCATATAGATCCAGAGAGAGAGGAACAGAGTGGATGAAACAGAGACTGTGAGACAATCAGAGAGAGAGAGAGAGATGAGTTGAAGAGGGTATGAGAAACATAGTAAGGGTGACAAACTGACAAGGAACCCACTGTGAACCATGCAACCTATCATCATAACAGTGGCAGTACTTGTCCCTCTGTCTACATAGCAACAGGAAAAGTCAAAGAAAGACCTGTGATGGTCATCAGACACTTTGATTAAAGAGCAATGGAGTTAATAGGGAGGAAAAATGGAGGAGAACCACTGGCTGAAATGTCTGAAAGGCACAAGATGTCATGAAGTGACCAGCGAAGAGTCGAGATAACATGAGAAGAGACCAACTGAGTCGAGATGACAAGACAGGCAGAGAAGAGACGAGAAGAGAAGAGACGAGACGAGACGAGACGAGACGAGACGAGACGAGACGAGACGAGAAGAGAAGATGGCTAAACAACATGATGACATTTGACCCCTCTCTATAAACACAAACATTTTTCAATGAGCCAGTTATTTTAGTATTATTGAGTATTATAGTTTTCTTAATATTTTGAATCAGTTTTTTTGTTTAAGTTTTAGTTAAAGTTGTAAAGTTAAAGTGTATTTGTCATTATTAGTTATATATATATATATATATATATATACTTATACATAATAATAAATAAATAAATATTAATATTTATTTTATATTAATGTTTCTTTCAAGTAATGACATTTTTTTTATGGTTTTAATTTTAGTTTCAGTTTTAGTTAACTATAATAACACTGCCACATGAGCATTAATTACCAAGTTTATTTATTACCACATCACATTATCAAAATTCTGGCGAACCAAGCAGCTTTCTGTTGGACTCCGCTGCATATTCACGTGACAAACTTGAACCCGTTGCGAAATCTTGTGGGGAAAACTTTCTTTCACACAAACTTCCCAATCACATGGATACCTATTGAACTGACTGAATTTCAAATTCACAGAACAGTAAATGTGACTGCACCGTAAAAGCCTACAAGGGGCAATTCACATATAATGGATTTTTGAATAAAAAAGTGACACGCTAGAGATGTGTTTTTTAAAAGGTGAACTTATTTTAACTTCAGTTCCACATTTTTAGAATGGTGTGTCACATGCAAAACTGTCTGTCCATTTTCTCTCCATTGATCACCTTCACTCTCTTTTCACCGGTTCCTGCAATCAGCCTCTCCTGCAGAGCCATTACTTTCTCTTTCCTAAAAAGAATGATTCATGCTTAATTATGGCTTACTCTTATGCTACAGAGGTGTATGTGTGCTCAGTCAGTCATCTATACCGAATTATTCAGTCATGAGGCCGCATCCATGTATGCTCATGTTCATTTGCATTGAGTGTGTCCGAAAGAGAGATTTATTTACTACAGCTCATAAGCATCAATCTTACAAATGAGGAGCAACAGGCTCTGACTGAGTTCAAGGGTGGGATGAATATCTCACATTTAACTCTTACACTTAAAAGACACATGAACAAAAGGTCATGAGAATAATGCTACACTGTGAATCTAGTGGAACACTTACTTATATCGTTTAATGGCATCATTAAATTCTTCAATCTTTATGAGCGATTGTTAATTTTATTCTGAGGCTCAAGGTCATGGTCACTGACATCCAGATATCAAATAATAGCAAACTATTTTCAGCTTTTCAGCATAATTACATAATGATGGCCTTTTTACTCGTTTCTGTAAACTTTTCAAACCCTGGATGGACCTATGAAAGCTTCCGCCACAGAATAAAAATAAAAAAGGCAATTATGTCTGAACTTGTAAAAAGTATAGTTTACATCTCACAATTTGGATTTTTTTTCTTGGAATTCTCACAATAGTTTTTTTAAACATATAAAAAAAAAAAATATATATATATATATATCTTATTCTTTTTTAATAACATTTATTTTTTTTGCCAGTGAATTACAATTTAATATATATAATCTAAATTTAAAAAAAAATATTTTGTACAATTCTTCTTCTAAAAAAAAAAAAGGTTGTTTAGTATTATTTTAATGTAAAACAAGACAAAGCACTGATTAGTGAAATGATTGTTGCAGCGTATCTTTCTCAACCCTTTCCATCCTATGGAAGCTTATTTCTGCCACATAATTAAAAAAATTTAAAAAAGCAACTGAGAATTTTTATCTCACAATTCTGATATTTTTCCTCACAATTATTTCTCTGAATTGTGATATAAACTCATAATTCTGAGAAGAAGAAAAAAAAATCAGAATTGCGATTTGTTAACTTGCAATTGCGAGATATAAACTTGAATTTCCGAGAAGAAAAGTCTGAATTGAGATGTAAACTTGCGGTTGCAAGAAAAAAAAGTACAATTATGAGATAAAAAGCCACTGTTACCTTTTTTCTTTTCTTTTTTTGGCAGAAATAAGCTTTCATAGGATCCAGATATGGAATGAGAGGAATACGCAGCAAATCCATTTGACTAATCAGTATTTTTGCCGTTTTCCATCAAAAATACTAAACAACCTTAAACAAGATAAATTTACTTCACTAAATATAATTTTTTTTAGAGAATATATTCAATTGTTACTGGCAAAGGAAAATAAATATTAGTAAAAATAATAAAAAAATAACTAATTTACTTACATAAATTTGGATTTAATGTTTTTGATTGAATTAATTGATCTTGTTTCATGGGTATTTAGACAAAAATAATGTTTTTTTGTTTTTTTTTTGCATAAGAGGTCGACTGTCAAGCTGAGACGTACCCTTTCCAAAATAATGTGAGACATGGTGGCATTGGCATCCACTATGATGGTGGCAGTCTTGTCATCACGGATCTCCTTGAGAAGGGGGGTGGGATCTTGGCTGTCATCCAGCATGCGAACAGAAAGGGTTTCCTTGGAGATGAGAAACTGTCGCAGTAACACCTCCAGGTTTAATAGGCCTGTTGAAAAGGGGCACACACAAAACACTTCAACGTCCTGACTTATGTCACCTTTGCTCACAAGAAATACATCCTCCCTCTCTTTTCACAGCAATTATACTATGGGATCGTCCCTTTTAAGGGACTAGAGTCAATTTTCTGTGGGTCTGAATATAATGCTATTATATTTGTCTGACAAATTTGAGCAAAATTATCTGCCAATATTTTTTTTTATTAAATTGAACATAGATAACAAAGCTTTTTTTGCTGTTCTGTATGTCTAATTTAATTAGTGAAATCATAATCACCCGAGTGTTTAATCTCGATTCCTTTGGCAATTATGAAGCCCACGAGAATACAGGACTAACAATACATCACTGTATCACAACAGAACGTGACATCGGTTTACTATGATCTGACTCTTTAAATCTGAAAGGCTTTTGCTGCTGACTTCACACATTAAGCGGCCGATGTCATTGCTCACAGCTGTCATATCAATTTCCTGCCGAGTTACTCAGCGTATGTTTGATTAACCATAAGCATTCGGTTTCTGTCTTTCGCTCATTGCACATCACATGCAATTTCACATTTACACAACATGGTGCTATAGCATTGCTAGCTAACACATGCGCTGACAGCACCGATCAAGTTGGACAGGAACTTGTGAGAACAGCAAAACACTGAGTTTTTATATAAACTCTGCTAACTTTGCTCGGACTTCGAATTAGGGAGGATTGGCTAACAGGGCAAAATGTGAGGATACATGGAAGGTAAATGAGAAGATGAAAGAGTATAGGGTTAAGTTAGCACTGTGGTTAAGGTGTTAAAGAGAAGCTTCTAGCACTGGTAAGAGAAAAGCACAAATCCGCTTCCCACACAGAGACTGCGCTAAAGGCTTAGCCTCCGTTCACTCTGAGCAGCCAGTCATTTCCTCAGCTATGACTTTCCACTGGGCTTTTACAAAGCGCCAAGTTCATTTATCTTTAAAGCACACACACAACATGGACATATGCTACAGCTGAAAATACACACATGTTTAAAAGCTCAGCAGAGCACAGTGCAAGCATAGCAGAAGACTATTCGCACAGGTAAATAACAAGTACATACACATGCACTCGGCGGACTGGATTTGACTACGCTACAATGTGTAAACAATTCCTCAAATCTGAGGTAAAGTCGGCCGTTTTGCTAATTTCATCCTTGCTGAAAAAACAAACAAACATCCAAAGCCATCCTACACAGATTTGCTGGTCTGATGCAGTCTCCCATCCTGGTTAGGCTGGATTTAGAAGGGGTTTGGACACACATGAGCAAGCTAAACCAACTGAACACCTGCTTCCCAGCTAATAGGGAATGTTCTCAGAACTTCTGCAAATTCTGGAAAGGTTCTCTCAAAGTTATGAACAAACTTTCTTCCAGTAACGTTAATAGAGTGTTCATTCAAAGTTTTTCTTTAATAATGTTAATGTTAAAAACATTATTTGCACATGGTTCATGCAAATATTTTTCCTAAAACATTTCAGATGGATGCCCATCTAACATTTGTAAATGAATTCAGAAGAAAACATTCCCATAATGTTTGGAATTGATAAAATGGAATGTTCCCTTAATGTTCGCATTACCAAGGAAAAACTTTTGGACATTTTGAATGTTCAGAAAACATTCAGAAATAAGGTTTTAAAGCTTAATATGATTAGCTTCAATAGTCTCAACCACACATCTGCTCTCTAGCATGTACTTTATATTTTATGTCTGTATTAAAGTTGAGACGACACAGAAGTAGCGACAGATCTTTTCTTCCATATTGTGAATACAGTATATCATCGGAGCGAAATGGATAAATGAAAAAAAACAGTAAGATGTGGACTTGGTTCTATACAGTAGTCATTAATTGGATTTTGAGATGTGAACAGCTTGCTGTCGATTGTGGAGGGCCACTAAATGATTGGAGAAGCCCGGCATTTCGAAAATAAAAGTGAATTATTATTTCATGCCAACTTTAAACTCATATAGCACCTTTTCATCCTTTCTTTGACATGGGGTGTCAGTACATACAAGCATTCGAATATTTAACACTTTGAAAAGTTTTTGAAGAGTCACGATTCATTATGTTGCTGTCTGGTCATTTTTTTTTTCTTTTCAAAATAAGCAAGTTAAAGAGTTCGGTAAACTTTTTATCAGTTCATGCTAAAAAGAGTTTCAGTCAGATCTCATCCTGCCCGGGGCCAGACAACCATTCTTACCCTCTTTTCTTCTCATTAGACAGAAAGAAGAGAAAGCTCAAGTAGCGTGAGCCACTGAGAAAAAAAAAAAAGCTTTTGTCTTCCTCCTTTAACAACGCATGTCAGAATCCCATTACACTCCTTATCACATTAAATTAATGTCTTCCAGCACAAAGGAGAGAACTTCAGAAACAAACACAGCCAGACAAAAGAGAGTTTCCAACGTCCTGCTTCATATCAAGTGCCCTTTTCTAGAAAGGCGATCCTTTCTCTATGACTTCCGTGACTGACTTTTCATTTCAGGGGCTTTTTGTTTGATTTTACAGTCCCATCCTTATTTTATCTACACATTTATCGTATTCTTCTTGAAGAGGCAGGAGAATTAGATCATCCCAATTCACCCACGTTTGGGGTTCTCGTCTCTCTGTGGGAAGCAGGCTGAATTCTCTCACTTAATCATCTTTAATTACAGATCACTTCAAAGCAGTGAGAAGAATGTCGGGCAAACAAGTAGTACAATATTTCTGTTCCTAGCGGAGAGGCGCTGACAGGTGGGAAACCTCTTTGAAGTATGTGCTTGATTCACGGTGTTCAATCTGGGCACCAAAGCTCAGTTCCTTTCAATTAAATCTGTGCGCTCCTTTAGTTCAAGAGGACAAACTTGAAAGAGATTGTAGCGCTCACCTGTCTGACCTCGTTCAGAATAATTTGGGTAATGCCTTACGAACACAGGGTCTTGGTGATCTTCTGGGTCTCCTGACTGGATAGTATACAGGTCAGCTAATTTTGTTCAATAATGAGACCTTACTCACCTCACTACACAGTACAGACCTGTGCAGCCAGACGAAGCCTAGTGCCTCATCCAAAGGAGTATTATACAGACTCCTAAGTCATACCTAAATGACGAAGTGACAACAGTCTCAAAACCTTTACTAGTGACTATCCATGAGCTGTTACATATAACTTTGCAAAATGGTGCAAACATATAGTATAAGTAGGCTGATTTCAGGTTCACCTGACCCCGTTTGATGTGTTTCTTTGAGGGCATTGTCTCAAGACCTTTTTTTAAAAGTTGGACATACAGTATGTCTGATTCCCGTGTGGCTTTGTTCTAGACCTTTTCTCCCCTTTTTCCCCGTTGCTTCTCCACTATCCTGTTAAATTAAGGCAAAAAGCCCCCAATATTAGCCACTTACATTTCCATTTATGCATTTGGCCGACTGACATTGCACTCAAGCTATACATTTTATCAGTTCAATTAAAAAAGTTGGACCATTTTAAAGAAAATGTACAGACAGATTTTCAAAGAGGGTTACACCGACAAATTAAGCTCAGAATGCTAATTAAAACACACATATCGCGCTAGACATATCAAAATGAAAATATGTATTTTATATAAAATGATCACAGTCGGGTTGCTTATAGATAAACTCATATGTTCAATAGCCTCCAGGTTGTATAGGTTAGTCGAACGAATAACTGTCCTTGTATGGTGTCATCTCAGCAAGCCAGCTCTGTGAAGTATTTATGAGTGGGCCATGCTCTATTAAGCTGTCAGCGTGCTAAGTGATTAATGAGAGCTGTACATCCTGTGAGACTGAGCGTAGAGAAAAAGAAACAGTAACGGAAGACGACAAGCAAACACAGAGGCGCAGGTGAACAGGGTTATTATGCTGGCAGCGCGGGGAGTCATCATCTGCTTCTTATAGAAATGTATCACTACGGCCCGTGGCATTTCCTGTCAACCCTTCGGCTCGCACGCCCACTTTGCAACCTCTTAATGTTTGTCAGCCAACGCAGAAGTGACTATTACCCACAATGGGCCCCAGACCTGCTACTGCACAGAGCAGCTAGCCAATCGTGCGTACATATTTGTTCTGAGTCTACAAACACATCAACAATAGAGTGAATGTGCTCCTTTAACAGCTGTTTGGGAAAATATTTGTAACGCTGGTAAATGTCTTTTATTGACATACATTTTCATATTACAAGCATTACTAATAGCAGCTGCTCTACCATGAAATTATCAGTTATTTCTCACCTTTTTTTGGTATTTTTTGGTTATTAGTCTACATTATTTTGCATAAGGATTTCTTGAGATCGATTTACTGTATGTGGGAATATGGGATCATTAAGATTTTAAAATTGCATTTAAATGTATTGGGAAAGCCATGTTGTATTACATTTTTTTATTAAAGTGTCAATTAGATGCCCATTTGCACCAACAATAACCATAAAGTTTGAAAATTTGTTCTAAAGGCCTGTGCACACTGAGAAATAACTATAGAGGTAACTATAACGATAACTATTAATAATACATTATTTTAACTACCAACCTGTTATTATAAGCATGTGCTTAAGTTATGTCATCTGCTGCTTTAAATGCTCAAGTACTGTAAAGACAGATGGATTCTGATTAGTCATCAATGTTTTTATTGTTCATCAGCTGGAAAAAAAATAATTCTGAATGTGTTTCCAAAGATATCGTTCCTCTGTGTCGTTATCACTGTAGTTATGGTGTGGACTTTGCTATTTTCATAGAATTAGAATGATTATTAAAACATTATAGTTATCGTCCTTTAACTTAAGGAATCCACACAACATAATGATAATGGCCCAGAGTAACAATATTGTTGAAATCACTGTCAGCTGATGAATAATAAAAACATTGACATCGATCAAAATCCATTTCACATTAAAGTATGTGCTGCAATTATGTTCAATGCTTAGAATAAGCATAACATTATCATCCATTGGTGTGGATGCTGATACAAATTAGTAATCATTATAGTTGCCATTATAGTTGTATTGCTCTTGGTTCGAATGGGCCTGAAATCATTCATCTTGAATAGGCTGTTGCTTGAAAAGTGTTTTAAAGTTTAAGAAGCCTTGTGCTCAGTTAAATACAACTTTCACAATATAACTTTCTTCACTTTCTCCCAATATGACTTTCCCAATACACCTTTCTTAGTACAATACACAGGTTCCCTGAGGAAAAAGGGGGTTTATATTAATAATATAAATACAAATAGAACTTCTAATCATAAAAAAATGAATTTGGGACATTTCAATCTTGCTCATATATATACATGCACTGAGTGACAGAAATTAAATATTATTTAGAAAGAAATAACACAGCAGCTGGAGTTAATATAGGTTAGCTTGGAAACTTGCTAAGTTTAGCATTGCTCTAAGGGAATTTCTAAGGGAGTCAAAAGCACCTTGGTACAGATTTCTAAAAGTTTTCTGTCACAACGCATTTTAAGTTTGGCCTGTCGCGGCTGTGAATCTCCTTTATTTTCCTACAGAATTCTTCAGGGAGCGCATGTCTTTTTAGGACTCAGAACTGAAATAAACCTCAGATATTGCTATTGTAGATATAATCACAATGGCATACCAATCTCCCACAGTCAGTCTCAAAAGAGATTTTTCATCTGAGCACCAGTGTTGTGCATCATTCAGAACAGAATTGAGAACACCTTTTAAATTATAATTACATTTCTAAATAGGATACTGAATTTAAATTAAAATATAATTAAAATGTTACAAAAGATTTTGATCATCTATCAAATAAATGCTTTTCTTTTGATCTTTCTTTTCATCAAAGAATTCTGGAAAAAAGCATCACCGTTTCCACAACTGTGTTCAACACTGATAATAATAAGAAATGTTTCTTAAGCACCAAATCAGTATATTAGAATGATTTCATGTGACACTGAAGACTGGATGACTGGAAGACTGAAAATGAAAAGACAGAAATAAATTACATTTTAAAATAATATTGAAATACAAAACCGCTATTTTAACTTGTAATTATATTTCACAATATTACTGTTTTTACTGTATTTTTGGTTAAATAAATGTAGCCCTGGTGAGCATATGAGACTTTTTCAAAACATAAAAAAAAAAAAATCTTACTAACCTCAAACTTTTGAATGGTAGTAAATATTTCATAAGTAACATTAATGCGGTACTGTATAGCAAAATCTGTTGTGAAAGTACTGAACAAATTTAGAAATATCTCTAAGCATACAAAAATAATATATGATATAATTATTCTCGTTTTGTCACTAAACTTTTGGGATTGTGTTTAATTTCTTTGAATTGGAGTTCAGTAAAAATCTATTTCCAATTCAGCAGCCTTAAGGTGTAGCCAATTAAATCAAATACCAACTCATGAAAGGGATCAGATTCTTAAATTCTGAATTTGGTCCACATTTTCAATATGAAACTTTGGTACAGTTCTCAAGTCCATATTGGTAGCTCGCCATCTCTCTACACCCCTCTCTGACGTCTTAGTGGGAATTATAGCTGTTCCACTTGAAGGCTTTAAGCTGATTACGGAGAAAGGTAGCCACTGTCTGAAGGGACAATGTGACTTTGTTTGGATTCTCTGGGTAATTTGCGGCATCCTCGCTCCGAGATGTGAAGTCAGAATACTAAACTTTAATCTTTTGCCAAGCTGAACTCAATGTGTGTCTAATAAGGAGACTTTACAAAAGTTCATCCGTCAGTTGCCTTTTCTTTGACTGCAGTGGGTTTGACTTAAACCTTCCACCATTCATTTCCATGGACATCTCTGTTTCAGCAGAGTGCGCTGACAATAGCGGCAGGGTGGATGTTTGATGGTGAATGAATGGGACAACATGAATGATGAATGCCTGAAGGACACAGATGGACAAGAGAAAGAATGAACAACCCATTTGAAATAATCCATCAATGCAGTACAGTCAAACAGCATGAAATGAAATCATCGTCATCAAACCAGTGTGGATATGTGAGGTTTAATAAGCAGTTGTTATTGCTAAATAATCAGCAGAATGTAATGGAGCATCTGAGTTGCCTATTTGAGTCTGTGAACGTGCACAAAGGCACACAGCGGCAAAGAGAGTGCAGAAAGTGCATGTACCACTATGAAACTCCCTGTTCTCTTTGTAGAGAATGCATATGTCAGAAAGCAGCTGTAACATCTACTGTATATGAAAGGACATCTGCCGTTTGATAGATGCAGGCAATTCTATTCAGTATGTGCCATTCAGGAAAGAGTGCAGCAGAACATGTAATTATAGCACATGAAAAAAGAACACTTCATTAAGCAGAATAACCATTTTCAACTAATAATAATAAGAAAGAATTCTTGAACACAAATTCAGCTCATTCAAAATGATTCATGTAAATAAAGCTTTCACCACAGATTTTTGTAAAACAACAACAACAAAAAAAACAGGTATATATATACAGGTATATATATATATATATTTATATTAAAATAGAAAACTGTAATAGTTAATTGTAATAATTTTTCAGACTTTTATGGTTTTTGACTGTATTTTTGATTGAATAAACGCAGCCTTCGTGAGCATGAGAATCAATAAATATACACAAATACATATATACACACACACACACACACACAATATAATACAATAGAATCCATGTGATACTCACAATCGGCCTGAGCACATATGAGACATGAAGTGCTGCTGTTGAAGAATGTTAGCAGTCCAGCTACAGCCATGCTGATGTCTGTATTAGTTGGCCTGAGGTCCAGTGTGGTAAAGCGAGGAAACTGTACTTTCAGTATGTCCTCCGGAGCCACCTTCACGTATGGCACCTGCACAGGGACACAGAACAGGACAGAGAAATTGAGCCCTGCAGGACCCCTCTTGTTAGGCTGTTACCGCAGGTAAATTGAATGAAAGAACATTGCAAGGAGGGCGTTTTGTTTACTGCACTGTGATGCGGGTCTCATGAGTGGCTGTGCAACAGAATCACTGCATTCTCATCAGACTAATTAGATTTTGTTCACGCCTAAAACTAATAAAACTAATTTGAATAATATCAAAAGGTCCTCTCTGAAGGCATGTAAATGAACTATGAAAACTCAGCTGTATTAGATGTAATAAAAACTTTTTGAAATAAAAAAGATTCCCCTTCATGGGAACTTCGAACTGCGTCCTCTAGGGGTCGCTATGGGGAACGCCTCGTCGTGACCCGTGTCTGAAGCATACATTGAAAAAACACCAACTTTATACTATAGTCGCACCGGTAGTGACGTCATGGCTGTCGCCGGCCAACGAGTTGGTGTTTTTTCAATGTATGCTTCAGACACGGGTCACGACGAGGCGTTCCCCATAGCGACCCCTAGAGGACGCAGTGTCTCGTTCCCTACTCAGGGAACCATGGTTACATAAGTAACCTGAGACGTTTTTCTGAACCTCAGAATTTCTCTCTGTGTAAAGGATATTCAGACAGAGGTCATGTGCAGTGATCTTTGACATCTTAAAATAATCTTTGAACAGAAATAGCACACAACGCAAAATGTCTTGCTTTCCATAGAGACCTCAGCATTGGCTGCTTTCTAATTTGACGTTTGCTGATGTGTGGGTATGTCGGGTTCGGGGAAAGTGGGTGCTGGGGTCAGTGGGGCTTGAAGGGGATCCTAAAGGACGCAGACGGGCTGTGTAAAGGGCCTCTTCATCACAGCAGATTGCCTGTCTGCGGCAGGCCTTGTGACCATGCTTCGTACTTGCACGGTCCTGTATCCCCAATTGGTTTTCCATCGCTTTCCATCAGGGCGTAATGGAGTCCCTGCCAGTGTGGATGGATGGGGCGCGTGGGCTCTCCGACACTCGGGGGACAACTGGGATTCTTAGAGATAGGGGGTTTGGAGAGAGGCCGGTAATGGGCTTGTTGCAGTGCAGAGACATGTACAAGCCTCCGACCTTCCTAGAACCGTTCTTTCTATTTCTCAGAGAAGATGCTTTTCTCTATTCCCCAGCCCTGCTTCCAGATAATTTCCCATCTGTTCAAAGCCCCTGTGCTAAGTTGTAAATAGCTGCTACAGTTGGACTTCCTCCTGTGTGCATAAGCTTGTGTTATTCAGAGGTGACATGCAGCTCAGCGAGGAAAGACAAACAACATTTATATGAGAAAGAAAAGGCGCCTTTGAATTTTTCTAGATTTTCCAGCATGAGATTTGAATCCTTGAACTAATTAATGGTTCAAACGGAGCTTCAAGTGGAGCTCCTGGGTAACAATGCTGGGTAGTGAAATGAACTTTACAGAGGTTTAATGAGCTGCCATTTTATACAGAACACACGTGGACTGACTCCAGCGGACCTTAAGATGTTATGTCAAGGGTCTTAATAGTCAGAGTGGGAGGTATTTAAGAAAAAAAAAAAAAGAGGTTATGGTTAACTTTGAGGAACCATTCATCATTATTATGAACATTTATTTAAAAAAAGCATTGTAAATAAGTATTTAATATTTGCTTGAGAGATGGAATATCAACTTTAGAGATAACTTCACCCAAAAAATAAAAATATGACTGTCAATGAAAATAAAAGGAGAAATCCGGAAGACTGTACTACCCGCTTGAGTTGAATCTGAGAACTGAATCAGTCTTATGAATAAATCATTCAGACTGGTGTTTTGAATTAGGCCAATAGTTTCATTGAAGATTTGATTTAAAACATTTGCTTGTTTGTTCACAAATTGGATATCAATACATCTCTCGGGAACTCAAACTTCAGAAACACAAATTAATATATTTTTTATGTCCATTAAACCAAAACTTCAAAAAGTTCATAAACAGATTGTAAATCCATATGAATCAAGTGGTTTAATGCAAGCTATCTGAAAAGACATGATTGCTTTATATGATGAACAGATTTAATTTAGGCTTTTAATCACATATAAACATTGATATAAACAAAATGCTCATACATACAGCACATCAAATATGGCAAAAGGAAACTCAAACATGCTTGCTTGATGTGCAAGAACAAACCTCTTTAGTTCTTGTGCATAAAGCAAGCATGTTGAGTTTCTGTTCACCAACTTTCTTGTACAAACGCTTTATGAACTTTTAGAGGTGTCAAAGTTTGATCTAAAAAATAAAAATCAATGAAAGAACAGAAATCTCTCAGGTTTCATTAAATATATCTTCATTTGTTTTCTGAATGAATGAAAGCCTTATGGGTTTGGAACGAAAAAGTTGAGCAATGTCTGGCGTTTTTGCATCCTTTTAAGCTGGAAAGCCATTGTCCCTGTTCATTGTAACTGCATAGAAGAAAGCCCCATTCTTAAAAATCCACCTTTTGTTTTCCATTGAAACAAAGTCATACAGTTTTGGAACACCATGAGGGTGAGTAAATAATTACAGTATTTTCGTTTTTGCGTGAACTATCCCTTAAAAAAACTCACATTCGAACAGATGACAGAATCTAATGTCTCATTGCGTGCTCAAATATACATAGTAAATATCCATGGTGTATGAACAGGAAATGGAGCATAACTTCCATAACTAGAAAAGGGGCATGAAAGCCATTTGTCTTGTGGTTACAGCACACTGCATATGCATCAGCATCATTTCCAGGGCGTAAATAGAAATTCTTTGCCCTGGTGGAGTTAATCTGGGCTGCAACATAGGAATTGTGGGCCAGAGGGAGAGTTGTGTATGAGGGTAATATCGGTCTGTCCATGTGCTGTCTGCTCCTGCGGGCTGACAGAGTGGCTGTCAGGCCTACAGATGCACTGCTGACAGGCTTTTAATGAGGGGCCCGATGCAGGCCAAAAGCAGCTCACTGAAGTCAGGCAAACAGCCACGCAACACTGCAGTATAAGTACATGTGCCGAACATTTCATTTAAACCAGTGGGAACATGCTGACCTGTTACAAATGAATATTGAGGCACTTAACAGATGCTGCATTTTGGACATTTGTAGTGTAGAACAGTACAATTGAATGGTTTTGTAATATACATTTTGTGAATTATAATGTAACTGTTTCGACAATTCAGTTGATTGAATTATTATGCTTGTACACACTCTTTGAGCAAATTGAGATCTTTGTTAATCGTTATCTGAATGTGCATTGCCAAAATGTTTTATTTAAAGTGCACACTCTTTTTTGCGAAGTCATCTTAATAGGGTTTTAAACTACAATAAGAAAAGGACATTACTGTGAAACTGCCAGACTTAAATATGCAACTCCGAATAACAAAAGCTGTTGTGACATCATGGTCATTACTTAAAATGTCCCTTGGCTTATTTAAATAATCAATGCAAACCTCATAGGGAAATGCATGGCTCTCACAAAGCGCCATTTGTGAAGTCATTTGGCACAAGTACGGTATTCTCACTTAACCATGAAATTGTGCAGATTGTTGTGATGCTGTGCCGAAAGAAACTCTGCAGTGTGCGTCATTTAAAATTCGCACCTTGACCTTTTTTTTACCATTTAGTATTAAAGTTAGACCGGGTTTTACTGTGCATGGTCATCCTGCTTTCTACCTGAAACAAAACACATCCATAAGGGTGGACGGTCTCAGGAGGGAACTCTGGGGGATTTCATGCCATATGGCAAGGTAAAGTGTAATGAGATCTTACATCTGTTCCCTTATGTGCCAGAGGAACAAAATCATGTTTAATAAAAGATCACAGAACTTTTACCGGGGCCACAGAGTCAACTGATACACCTGGACATACTGTTGTACTGTAAAGTCGGCCATATTTGTCCGTTGTCACGCTCAAGAACAGCAGCGAGTGACAAAGCCATACTCGGTTGCCTCACAGGGTGGTGGGGGCAAATGCAGGCAAAAAGCAGCGCCATTACTCAAAGACATGGAGATCGGCCATATGGGGATGGCAGAATGGCTGGAAGGGTATTGTGAATGATTGTGACATCGCACACCTCTCTAATGTGGTGCAATGAACCATGGATGTCAGCTGCTTGGGGAAAAACACACACTCAAGCATTAAGTGAAGTAATCATGTTTTGGAGGCTATGTGAGCGCTGAGAGTCCCTGGTGGAGGGAGCAAAAAGAAGAAAAGGCCACCAAGGCCTTGAGAGAAAGCTGAGCATTGACCACAATCTAATTGATCAGCCTGCTCAGGAAAAAAAAACCTTTCTATGATCACCGTTTCGCAAGCATCACTGCTGGTTCAGAAGAACATAGAAATCCTCTTAAAAGACTCTAAAGTTTTAAAGCTGCGGGCCGCCTTTTAAACTGCACCATGACTACCAGCGGTGGTGCAGGTGGAAAGGTGAAGCCATTATGAATGAAGGTGAATTGGACAAGTCTTTGGTGAATTTCAAATATCACCTAACAGATGGAATCCGCAGGTGTCCCTCCCTTGGTCTCTGCTCATGCAATCGGCCATTGTGGACAAATGTGTAGCACTCCATGTACAATAACAAATCAATCCATTGATACTCAAGGGTAGTTATGGAAGCCAGTTTCCATAAATAAAAAAATAAAACAGGTAATTGTTGATAAAGTTGAAAATGAGAAGTAACCGTAACTGCGAGAAATAAAGTCACAAATGTGAGTTATGACGTCAAAGTAATGAGAGGAATTCACACAATAATGAGAAATAAAATAGCTATTTGAGTTCTAAAGTCACAATTATAAGAAAAAGTTGCTACTGTGCTAAATAAAGTGCTAATTATGGGGGAGGGGGGGGGATAAAATGAATGAATGAATGATGCATTTATATAGCGCTTTGTCACACCAGCTACAGGTGGAGAGGAGAGAGAGTCATAGAGCCAATCAAGTGGATGGGGATTATTAGGAGGCCATGACTGACAAGGGCCAGTGGCGGCAATTTG